ATACAAAGATATTTGTATACTACACCTACATGAATGTTAATTTTTTTTCGTACCAAATTACACAAAGAGCTAGCTACAAATCCAGCTTTAGTTTTGAGCTGATAGAATAAAGGCAACTACATAACACCATCCGCTGTCAACTCTTGGGATACTCTTGTCTAACCGACTAATGGGATCTTATCACCACTCCTATAGAGCATTCTTCGTCCCTAAGTGCGGAATTCGTTGTTTCGCCAAAGGACCGCGAGCCATGAACCATCGAATTCACAGTCCGATTGCGCAAACTACTAAGCCACGCCTGAAGCAATCTCATAAGTAAACCGTTATCAAACATCATGACAGTACACACGAGGTGTTTGGGATAACATACAAATGGAAATTTAATAGTTCATATGTATTATATAATGAACATGTATTTACGTTTATGATAAATATGGCAGGACGCCGAGAAAAACCAAATATATTAAATGATGGAAAGCCACGTGGTCTGTACGTATACATATTCAGGGTCACGTTTTTAACTCTATAGATGCTGTACTAATTCGTTTGCAAGCTTTTAGCCGAAATATGAGGTTACTAATGATATTAGGAACATTTCGTTTGAGGAACAATGAACTTTATAAAATAAATTTTTAGAACTAACAGAAAGTTAGTGATTCACCAATTTTTGTAGATTTTTTTAGTGAAGACTTTAAATTTAAAAAGTACATCATTTTTCAAACGTTAATTCTTCTGCTCAAAGTTAGAAATACACAAATAAATTCCAAAACGTTTTCAGCTGCTTGCCTTATTTTTCTTTTAGGTTTTTTGTTGTTTTCCAACTTGAATTTTGATATATCGGTTTAAAAATACCATATACATACTATAAAATGTGCATTGAAAGTTACAATTTAAAAATAAAGGCGATTTGTTTGGTGACCAAACTGTTCATTATTACGCATGTGATCCAGATACATTCTTATAGAAACAACCACACAGATACTCCCTACAACTCACTGTGTCTTTTTTTTTGTTGTTGTTTTTTTTTATCCATGCTAGTACAGTATGTGTATGCTAATATTTAACGTTCGCCTGCCTACGGGTTATGAGTATTACCATATGGCCCGGAGTCCGGTTTATTCTCTCTAGAACTACTAATCCATGTGTCGAGTTGAAGACTGCTATCACCAACATACGCCACATTTTTGGCTTTAATGTATGTTGACAAATATTTTATGAACGCATACATATTATTTATATCAGTGTCACGTATCGAGTTTCTTGGAAATTTGAGGGAGTGTCACTTTGATTTAAATTTTAATATTCTTGTTAGACAACTCTGCATTATGTAAATATTCTGTAATTTTGTAACTTAGCGCTGCTGTTATACGTTACATTATAAATAATATAAACATACAATCTGCGGTTTATTTCGAAACAGAAAATATGGTTATATATGTGTTTAAATGGATTGTTATCCGCTAACTACTGAAGTTTACTGTGTACAAAGAATGTATTTGTTTGTTTGTTTTGAATTTCGCGCAAAAGCTACACGAGGGCTATCTGCGCTAGCCATCCTAATTTCAGCAGTGTAAGGCTAGAGGGAAGGCAGCTAGTCGTCACCTCCCACCGCCAACTTTTGGGCTACTCTTTTACCAACGAATAGTGGGATTGAACGTTACATTATAACGCCCCCACGATTGAAAGGGCGGGCATGTTTGGTGGGACGGGGATTCGAACCCGCGACCCTCAGTCGAGCGCCCTAACCACCTGGCCATGCCGGGCGCACAAAGAATGTAAAAATGACATTTTTGTGTGAAACATTACGTCCACACTGGTAAAGTCTCAATGACTCATTATTTATCTAAAATTAATAATAAATATGTGTATTTACAAAATCGCTTTCCGGATACACTACATAAATAGGAAAGGAAGAGAATCCTGCATATAACTTTTATCCGAGACCTCGTCTCGGAATTTGAGATTGATACAACAATTTGTCACATCAAGTTAACAAACCCGTTGCACCAACAGCAAGCTTTCGCGGCTGTTCTGTTAAAAGTACAGTGATGGAAAATAAATTACTAGATCACCTAATGTTTTTCACACTTTTCTTGATTCCTCTAATTTTTTTTACAAGATTGTGCATTGTGGGAGTGTCACAACTGATGTAAAACGGTTATGGACATTGTGTGGTGTAAGCTGATTCATGTTTCAGTCATCCAAACAATATATGCATTTTTCTAACAAACCAACCATGAAAAATGTATTACAGCAGATGATCAACAAATACGAAAATGTTTTCAGAGTAAGAAAACCTAGATTTAAGGATAACGCCACTAATGTCAGTGACAAAAAGTGGTCACGCAGTCTGTTTCTTGTTTTAATATTTAGTTGTCCGCTCTGGTCTTAATAAATGCTTAAAATCGCTGTGGTATAATTTACATAAAGGTGTGAGTTCATAATACTACACGAGGTTTAGGGTTTCATATGTGGGTTTTAATCAGGGTGTTCCCCTTCCCCCACACAACAAAGTCTAGGTATTGGAGTTTTAGATCCCCCTCCGCTCTGAAGGACCGTGAGTCCGATAATGACCGTTGAGTAGTTATGAAGTGATACTCTCCAAAATATCAAAAATGTCAAATAATACACCTCAAAGAATAGCCCCTTACCTCCATCACAAGTGGAACGAAGAGAAGCTGACGTTTCTGAGCGCCTCTGGTAGTCTTCCGAGGTTTACTTCTGAAGGTTTGTTTACACCAGAATAACCGTCAAGTTTTTTGATTTTTGGGTTTCCTGTAATTAAAAGGTGCTTCTCGGTTTCTTCTCTTGAACTTTGTTGCCCATTCCCTTCCAGTAGCTTTCGATAGGGTTTAAATCTAGGCTGTTGCCTGACCAGTGTAGTGTATTGATCCTCTCCCTTCGAAAATAGTCCTTTACCGGAAGCAATAAAATCAATTCTAAGATGTCTTTTCAACACAAGTAAAGTGGAATTTCCCTCTTTATTTCACGTCCATTGCATAGAGTGCATGAATATTAACAACAATGTTAGCCCTGTAGCGTGGAGAATAGTCATCATGGAATGTGCATTAGTCAGTTCCAAAGAGACCTCCATTGTTGGCTTAACCGGGACTCAATGATTTCGATGTAGTTGTCAGCAGCACCCTGGTCAGAGATGCATTTTCTTACCCTGAGAATGTTTTACAGTTGCATTCAAACACGTTGAATGAAACTCTTCTCCACATCAAAGTGTTTCCCATCAGGCTCGTGCAGGTTGAACTTTGATTCGTTTGAGAAGATCACTTTACTCCACATTGCTTCATTCCAATCGGCATGTTCTTTGGCCCAGATGAGCCTCATCTTCCTCATATTGTTGGGTGAGGACGAGTTTATTGGCCGTATTGCTGGGAGATAGGCCGAAAACAAGCGAGACCAGACAGTGCGCACGGTAACAGTGATCCCTGAAGTTTCCTGCCATGCTCTTTTGAAATCTGTGGACGACAGTCAATGATTCTGCAAGCTCATGCGTTTTGGAACACAGTCATCATCTGCTTTGGAAGCTTTATTCCAACCCCTTTCCTTCTGGCACTCCACACAGCCAGTATCTCCAAATCTCTGCACCCAGCGATTTAAAGTAGACTGGTTAAAATGAGTTTTTCTGGCAGTCTGCTTTATCAAAAGTCCCTCTTTGCTCAAAGAAACAATTACTGCTTTTTTTCTATTCTTTTATCGGTGGAGTTAACTCGCAATCCTAGGCCATAGTAGCATCACGCACATTATACCAGATTGGTTTTCACACTCACTCTCAGTAAGAACTCTATTTACAGCCCAAAAAAACGGCTGATGCAATAATTAGACAGTATTGCATCATCCATGGAACGTATTTGCAACTACATACATCATGGCCTTAAAACAGACGATGATTCCGAAGAAATGTGTGAAAAAACTGGGTGATGCAATATATTTTTCCCACCACCATATTTATAATTATATTCAATGAATACAATACAAAAACTGTTAAGTAGCTATTACTTGGCTGAAGTGAAATAGCCATACCATATCAAACTATGCAGCATCAACATTTCATAATAAAACTGATCATTAAATGAAATATATAGAGCTGTTACGACAGCGGAGGTCACGTGACGCTAGTAACACGTCATATTCTCGAAGGT